TATATATATATAATGCTTATTTTATTTTATGCGTTAGGGTTAGGTTTTATTTTATTTTATTTTAAATTATATTTTATTTAATTTTTTCAACCCAGGTTTCTTTATCGGTCATATTTTTCACACAGCAGGTGCTGGTGGTTTCCATCTCTCTCTTTTTCTTTCTCTCTGAGGGAGGACACAAGAGAGAACAGAGCAGGTGTAGAGATGAGACGGCTTCAGCTGTCTGAGTGTGCTGTGCTCCAGTGTACTAAGTGTTTTTTCCCCGTCTCTATCACATTCAGCCACTGATTTCCCCAAAGACACATCACCAATTAAACCCGTCCATTTACACCAAATATCCATCAATGTTCAACTTTAAATGACAAAAACATAATTACATACATCACACAATAATAGTGCGAAGGTCGGGCCAGGGAGTGAGGAGAAGCGAGTTGACATTAAACATAAATCTGAGGTTATGAGGACGTGCTGACATCGTTGCCCTCTGAGAGTACGAGAGCAATTGCGTGATTTTGAGCAAGTGCGGAACGGCGCTACTGACACAGACCGAATCTATAAATTACTCCATGTTAGCGTCATACCACAAACCACTTTGATCTCAGAGGTATTACTGTGCTCTCGTCCAAATGCCTGTCCAGCGTTACACACTGGATAAACAGAAATAGAACGGGCCAGTGACAGGAAGGTCAGAGCGAAGTATGTGGAAAAGGTTTTAGATCATGTATTAAATAAAGACTTGATTAAACTCTTGTATACATGTCTATGGTCCAACCTAAATAACATTTAGTCATTCAGACACTAAATGTGAACAGACGTATATGAGACCACATGTGAACGGGTGAGATGCCACATATGCTCTCAAGGTGTGTGCCTGCACATGTGTGTTAGGTGTGCTCCTCAGGGCTCTAACTAGGTGGCGAAGTGTACTAGTGTGTGTGTGGTTCTGGCAGCTGTGTGGGTGATCCTCCAGTCATGTACAGAATCTCCCTGGCTCGATCCACAGGGGCAGGCTGGGATTCCAGACCGCTCGCTGCGCACTGGGGCCACGGATCTATTCTCAGCATGCTCTCTCATCACCGTCCAACAGGCTTCATCCACAAAATCCACTATCTTTTGGCAAGGGAGGGCAGCTCACTTTATTCAGTAAGGAGGCACCTGACAGCCTGTGGACGTCAGGTCAGACCTTGACCTTTACTCTGTACAAACAGTCTGAAGCACTCACCCCTGAAAGAAGTGATGGGAAGTGATGTCATTTGAGTGAAGAAGTGCTGCCAAGGAACTGACACAAAGTGATCAATGTTTGATTTTGCTAAGAAAAAACCTTAGAATTAATAAAGTTTTATAACAAAAAGTTAATTAAATTTACAATAATAATAAGTAACAATAATAAATAAATATCAAATAAATGCATTATAATGTATTTGATATTTTTAATGATAATGTATTAGATATTTACTGTTTAAGAATAAATTAATATTTAATGGTTTATTATTAATTTATTATATTTTTTTCTATTATTAACGGTATATTATTTTTCTATTGTATTAATTTATATTTTATCATAAATATCAAAAACATTATTTATTATTATTATAAATGTGTTTGATGTTTATTTATTATTTATTAAACAACAGTAATAAATACATATCTAAATGGTAAAATCTCCCCATAATACATTAGATGTGTATCTCTGAATGTCTATCAATTATTAGGTGACGCATATCTTTTTACGTGTTTTAGGGGAGTTCTGCTTCTAGTATTGTTTTCCAGCTGGCTGGACCAGTTGTGACTTTTGCCAGTGTTTGCCACAAGCCAAAATCCAATTTAATCAAATCACAATGGCATAATTTAAGGAAGACAAAAGCAGTCAGATTTTCCACACACAATGTCCTAATTGCAAACATTTCATGTTTGCCAAACCTAACTACAGTGATGGTGCCAACAACAGACAGATCAGGTTTAACGCAAAAAAAACTGTTACAGCCTACTTTTTATAACGTGTTTAATAGAAAAATATGGAATTTCGTATATTTTTTCCAATTAATTATATGAATTTATAGTCTTTTGCACATGGACATACTTGGAAATACTGAACAACACATACTATTTTCACAAATCTGATTATCTCAAGAGGTTGCGTTTAATTTAGTGGGTCATTATAACTAATTAGTGTCCCATAGAAGTAGAGAAGAAGAGCACTTGAGTCCAGAGTTCTCAAGACAGATTTGCGGAGAGACTCTGTGGTTGTACCAATCTCTTGCCTAATACACAAAGATAAGCTGTGGAACATGCTGAACAATGAGTTGGGGAAAATGTCCCGTTTAATAACAGCCCCTCTGTTGCCTGTAAAAAAACATTATGCAATGCTGTGGGGAGGAATAAGACGCCAGACCCCTCAATTAAAGTGCAGTGGAAAACTGGATTTTATCCCTTAAGAGACACACATCTCAAAACTTCTTGTGTATGTTATAGCAAAACTCTGCTTATAATGTCCAACGGAGCATCATGATTTCACTGAAATACATCTAATAATACAGTAATCAGAGCCAATGCCTGGAGGCAGGTGGACAGCAGTTGCTGCCTCTGTGAACAAGGACATCTCATTAAAAAAATACATCTGGACGAGACTGGCATATTAGGAGCTGCGTCAGCAGTTCAGTTCAGTCTGCTCAGAAAATAGACACAGACTGTATAAAAAGTACAGCAAACTATCCACGTCTGTATATTTCTTTTGGACATCTCTAGTTTGAGCCTCGTCTAAACTCCTGCTGCGACTGCGAGTCAGCCCTGACAGCTTCTTTCCAAAAGCTGCCGCTGCTCCACCTCACTGATTTCATAACCCTCTCTGGCCAAAGACTTTTTTAGGAAATCAAAATATTTAGGTCATGGCCTAAATGCCCAAAGTTTCCATAAGCAAATATGTTTTCATGGCTTAGTCATTTAGGAAGCTCTTTTAATCAAAAATGACTTAAGGTGCACTTGTAGCAACCCAGTTAAAGGAATATTTCAGGTAAATACAATTTAAAAGGATAGTTCACTGAAAAATGCAAATTCTGTCATCATTTACTCACCCTCATGTTATTCCAAATCTGCATGACTATTTTGAAAAATATCTCTGTGCTTTTTTTGAAAGTCAATGAGTTCAGTGTTGACACACTGTCTAAAATATCTTATTTTGTGAAAGAGTCATACGACATGGTTTGGAAGGACATGAGGGTGAGTAAATGATGACAGAATTTACATTTTTGAGTGAGCTATCCCTTTGACTCGTATTGAACTATTCCTTTAGGTTCTATGCTCTAGGATGCAGCAATGTATTCAGAACTATTTAAAGGATTAGTTCACCCAAAAATGAAAATTTTGTCATCACACCCTCATGTTGTTCCAAACCTGTATGAATTTCTTTCATCTGTTGAACACAAAAGAAGATATTTTGAAGAATGTTGGTTCAACAGAAGAAAGAAACTCATACAGGTTTGGAACAACTTGAGAGTGAGTAAATGATGACAATTTTCATTTTTGGATGAACTGTCTAGTTTCTGGATCAAGCTGACTTTTATTTAAATCTTAACTGTTATGCTGCACCAAAAATATTTCACTGCATAGCTCTATTTTAATCTGACATATAACAAGGGAGAGGGATCAGATCACATTATTGTTCACACGCATCCATGTATCGTGAGCATGTAGGCCTGGCTGAACATTGACGTACTCCGTCACAACCATATGCTATTTTTACCAGACTTTTTTTCCACTGTGAAGAACTATGAATATGCTTTTCCCACTATGTGCCATTTTTGCAGTTTGATTCTATCAAATTTTGTCATTGTGCTCAGCTAAACTGCAACACTGAGCTAACAATTTTTCCAATATATTTTTATACAAGTGGACAGTGTCTCCTTATAAAGTCCACCTTCAAGTTTTCAAACATTATTTAGCATTTAATTTGTGGCTGCAAGCCAAAAACTCTGCAGGCTGAATGCCACACTACAGGGAAAAGGGTAAAGAGTATCATGAGAATCTTCACAGATCCAACTTTTAATAATGTTGTTAAATCGGTTCCTCTGTGCCACTCTGCTCTGGATTTTTTTTTTTTAAAGGCCAAGATCATTACTTGGACATGGGAGGCAAGCATTTGTGGAAAAAAACAGACCTTTTTTACAGGAAAGGACATAAGCTAAAGTGTCTCATTGGTGAGGAATTCCTCCGAGTTTCTCCAGGGAAGGAAATGTTGATTGTAGATGAAATGCAAAACTCTACATGACCTCATTATAAATGCATCTGCCAACAAACACTTTGCACAAGAAACTTGGATGGTCATATATGAGAGAGAAACCAAATTGTATTAATTTGCAAGGCTTTGATCCAACAACAAAGATAAGTTTGAACAACAGTTGTATCACTACAAATCAGATAGACGTGTTCAAGAAATACCCTCATTACTGCACAATGCGCCCATGCAAATCCTCCAGTATAATCGATCAATTATTTTTGATGTGAACTATATAAGGTCTTCATATCTATTGCCATCAACAGCACAAAGCTTGACTAAAAGATCAACGTAATTCTAGGAGGTACAGTAACTTTAATTTTGAAAATACTTGAGAAGCTAATCTACAAATTTTTTGGCTTATCAACAAGTAAACTTTTTGCCTTTCAGTTTATGTGCCGAATTTGAAGCCAAATCTGCTAAATAAATCTGTAGAATGGATTTATTTGGAAAATATGTTAAATGTAGCAGAGTGTCCTGCATATGAATTATCAAAAATACTGAATAAACAAACACTCAAGTGTCACTGGAAGTGGAGAACTTCATGAATGATTGGAGATTCAGGGCTGTGTGAAGATTTCTGTGTATTTCGGAAGTGGATCTCATTCCCATAGACATTCAGGGGTCAAGCCACATAAGAAAAATAATCTTCCATTGCTCTGTTTCTGATCTTCTACCTCATAATTCTGGTTTATAGAATTAATTTATCCACATACCCTTTCCAAAAAAGTTTCCCACATTTATAAGCGGGCATTGCTGTCAGTTTTTAAGTGGCACTCTGTGAAAGTGGCCTAGCTCCAGAGAGAACTCCCAGAACTTGAGTGTTACTCTCTTAATGCACTCAAGTCACTCATCTTGGTCTTGAGATGCAATAGGAGTGGCAGTGTATACATAGATAAACAAACAATAATTTCAAGAGTGTAAGACTGAATTATTTCCATTTAGATCCGCTGAATGGTAGTCCCAAAATCTTTAAGCCCAACCCTGAACATAACTCAAACTTCATACCTGATCCTAACAAAGCCAGTGGCTCTGCTGTGGGGTGGAGACGGATTCAGGCTAGATGACACTGGCCGAAGCTCCAAACATTCCTGTTGTCTCTGTGGCATTTTAGACCAGATTGCTGGCAGTGAGCCCTGGCATGCTTTGGGGGGGCTTCCCTGTGCTTTGGCCGAGGTAAACACAGCAACCACACAAGCTAATAATAAACCTCAAACGCCACAAGCCAATCCTGTTTCTCAGAACAGGGATCTATCCCACTGTCACCTACGCACATAATAACCCCAGTCAACCCGGGGTCATAATCACCCTCGCAAACATTTGGGCACACAGACATTCATACGTACACACTCAGACACTCACACATACTATATTTCAAACACGAACATAAACCTCATATGTGTATGTGTATATGTATATGAAAATTGTATTTAAGTGAAATCGTGAAAAACAGTAGTAGAAAAAGATGACTGTTAAGGTTTCCAACCACATCTTTTCTATGCACAACACTTATAATCAATTACTTAACTTACAATATGTATAATGTACGATATGTATAATGTACACGGGTAAATAAACAACAATCATAAATAAATAAATTTGATATACAGATTGTGGAAGTTGAGAAACATGGTTAATTACAATACCTCTACATATAACCCATATGTATAGTATACATGTATGTATGTATTTGTGTGTGTGTGTATCTATATATACTGTATATATACTGTATATATATATATATACACACACACACACACACACACAGTGGGTATAGAAAAGAATCACCCCCCTTTAAAATAAT